GTAAAAGCTCCCGCACATGAAGAGAGGTTCAAGTTCCCCAGCAACCTTAAACCCTCAACCTGCAACCCCAAGCCCTCAAGCCCCTAAACCTCAGAACCCCGGACCCTATAAGACCACTAAGCAACACAAACATGAACAAACTCAGAACTTCACCAACAGCACCGGCGTGGTGAAAGTTGAAAGCATTGACTTGGACCTGCCTCCACAGGCTCGATTCATTTTGCTGAATCCGGCTCAGGGTTCCGAAAGACTCCTATGTCCCTTAATTACGCAATATTCCTTAAATTATGGCAAGACCCCTAACATGATTTACGGAATATTCCTTAAGTGAGTATTGGAGTCTCTGGGTTCAGGTTTAATGTTAAAGCCCAAATTGCGGAACATGCAGGGCCACTCAAAAGGCTCTGTAAAGGATGCCTATATAGGTCCCTGTTAGGGTTCCTTAGGATGAGGATCCTATTCTGGGATCTGTCTTCCTTCAGAGGCGTCGCTACGAGGGTTCCTGGGGGTTCTCAACGTTACTATAAGTATTCTATGAGGGCTATCGCGGTAAAACCGGCGTTGGGATCTGGCGCTGAAGCTGTCGGGCTTCGGGTTGGTAGGGTTCTCTGAGCGAAATTATTTTTCCGTGAGCTACGGGTTGGTGAACGCAAGATGCCCCTAACCTCGACACCTCCATATGTTACAGTACAGCTTTTTGGTTCCGTTCGGATATTCCTGGATCAGTTTAATTCTAGATGCATTGAACTCCAAACAAGAACTCTCCTAAAAAGCCCTCTTTCAACCCTAAGCCCCTACAGTGAAGTCCACAGGCGTCCACCCCAGACTGCCCTTATATAGGGGCCTCGATACTATCCTGGGGGTTCCTTATTAGAACTATAGAATAATAGACCCTAAAACCCTATTCTAATTTTTAAACGCCTCTACATTACGCAAGATTCTGTAACCATGAGCCTTCCACGGCTCTCAGGGAGAGGCGAAGGAGGAGTCAGAGGATCTGGAGATGAAGGAAGAGCTCAAAAAGGAGGGTTTCGGGTGGAGAGTTTCGGGCTGAGTTTAGGGCCTTAGGGTTTCGGGTCAAAGGTTTTCAACTTAGGGGCCGAAGTCAAAGACTTGACCTAGTGGTGCGCAAGGCCCAATTATCAGGTCTATAAACGGTTTAGGGTTTAGGGTTTAGGGCTTAGGGCTTAGGGTTTAGGGTTTAGGGTTTAGGATTTAGGGTTTAGGATTTAGGGTTTAGGGTTTAGGGTTTAGGGTTTAGGTCTATAAGTTTAGAATAGATGTACATACGACTCTTGGACACTTGGGCACATAAGGTTAGAGTTGAGGATTCCGTGTTTAGGGTACTTGCAGAATCTCAGCCCATATATGGGAGCTTCCGAAAACTAGGGGTACTTCATTTCGGGGTCCTTATAGTAAGGATCCTACTATTTGGGGTACTTTCTTAGGGTCCCCTTATTTTCGGAAACTCCCATATGTGTGACATAAATACACTTGCACCACAGTCTACTTAACTGAGCGACATGAAGCGCTGCTGACGGTCGTAGATTTGTGCATGAACTTTTTGCACTCCTCGACTGTACTAGTCAGTTACACAGAATGGACATGTTCACCGTGCATGGCGCCCCTCCCCGCCCAATAAAAAAGCCGATCTACAGACCGGAGGAAGAGGATGACGTGAAAGAGGAGAAGCTGCTGAAGATGGAGAAGGAAGAAAATGGCGAACAAGAGGCTTAGGGTGCACGGTTTAGGGTTAACAAGAAGCTTAGAATGGCGAACAAGAAGCTTCGCCTAGTTCCAGTGACCTCTTCGTCGCGAACTGGGGTGAAGTGGGGAGAAAGGCAGCGAAAGCCTAAAGCCAAAACTCCAAACCTGAAATCACTACGTGCCGAATCCCGCACCGCTACCTCTGCCTACATGTCTACCCCTTGGACCACTCGAATGCAATCCGAACTACTGCGAAGTGCTGGGACGCTTGCTTCAAGGACACCTCACACAGTACCCCTAGTTTTCTAACACTCCAACAAAGCATGCATCCCGGCAAGAAAAACGCAAAGTGTAAGATCCCGAAGACCTACTCTAGCAATGCTGCAAGATCCCAAAGGAGGGACCCTCAACCCCATAAAGCATACACAAGCCGTAAATCCAACCTGTAAGAGCCCGAAAAGACCCAGGGCCTCATGCCGATCCCACAAAGTTCAAGAATGCTGCGGCCTAAGGTTGCCTATATAGGCGTCTATGCTCGGGCTCGAAGGACATATGTGCATGCAGGCATTTGGGCCCACACACGCTGCAATAAAGACGTATCTACAGGATCTTGTATATGTATAAAGAATCTAAAAATATCTACGTACATGCTTGCACGTACGCACACACACACACACACATACATACATACATACATACATACATATATATATATATATATATATATATAATGTAACTATATGTATATGTGTATGTGTGTGTATGTGTATACACATATGTAAATTCATATCAAAAATTAATTTGTATATTCATATGTTTTTGTTTATATGTATATGTATGTGTGTGTATGTGTAAATGTATGTGTACATGTATATATGATGTATACACCTATATATATATATATATATATATATATATATATATATATAGTTATTTATACGGACATGTTGCGTTGTTTCTGCATCTGTTCCTGTATGTGTTTGTGGATGTGTGTGTGTGTATATATGCAAACCCACACATATGTACTTATGTGTATATGCAGGTGCGCATGTACGCATGTCTGCATGTATAGGAAACAAAACAAGAAGTCAACGTCAAGGAAGAACTACAGTACAAGTAGATATATTTTCACACCGATGAAGGGCATGTTATCGCCCCGGTCCTCCATCGCGACGAAGAGATTATTACATCTTTGGACCGAACAGGAAACGCGGTCTCTCGCAAAGAGTGCAAGTTGGAAAAGGTCGGCAGTTTGCGCTTGGGCTTGAAGCTTGTAGGGTTTGAACCCTAAACCCCTAAACCCCTAAACCCTAAACCCGTAACCCTTAAACCCTAAACCCTAAACCCTTGAATCCCTAAACCGCCCTACAGGCACTGGCAGGGTTTATAATAGGGGTTTCGGTTCACTATAGAAGCCTCAGAGGGTTACCACTATTAGTCTGTAGGGCTCCCTAGTATGGTTATGGGTAAGCAGTAGAAGAGCTGTTCCGCACTGCTCCAGTTACCCTAAACACTAGGTTGCTGACTGCTTATTGGATAGCCCAGTTAGCCAGTATTTAGGCACTTGGGTCGCCCGGTAAGCGCTACAGTAGAGTCTTAACAAGATGCAGCTGGGTGCTTCGCACAGGGGCCAGAATACACAACAGTGCTGACAGTTGTATTCTTAAGCCGCTAAGGCTCCTTCACGACTTTCCCAACACCTTATTCTAAGTATTCAGGCTCTTCTGTTAGATCAGCCAGACTTACACGACTTTCTCAACACCCTGTTGCAGTTCTTCAGGGCCTACTATTCTATCAAGCAGACACATTTTGGACTTGAAGTCTAGTCGGTGTCCCTCAGTTCCTGTGCAATAGGCTTTGGGGCTTAGGGCACTTGGTCAGTAAACAAACGCAAACAGATGCGGACCTGCCAAAACGTCAACCACATGGGAGTTTCCGAAAATAGGGGTACCTTATTTTGGGGACCTTATAATAAGGATCCTACTAATCAGGGTACTATATTGGGGCTCCCCTATGTCGGAAAGTCCCAAATGATCCCGGAGCACCACCTGGTTGAAGGATGTGGTCCGTGCACGGTGTGCAAATCTTTGTTGGTGATGGCTTGTGTGATGATTTGCAAGTTCAGGTTCAGAACTCAGCATGTGAGGGTGTGCTTGTGCGAGTGTGCCTGTGGTTTACAGAGTTTAGGGTAAAGTCCCACGTGGTAGTTCAGAGGCATTCGTGAGTAGCTAAATTCGGTGCTTATGTGTGCGTATATCCTGAACCTGATATGAGGCATTTCTCGCCTCTTCGGGCAACTCCTCGACCTGTGGATTCGGTTCAGGGCTTAGGGGTTTAGGGTTTAAGGGCTGAATGATATTGAAAGCTATGTACACAAAGCTGAAGCCTATCATCGCATCTCCCTGCAGGCAGATCCCACTTGTGATTCCACATCCCTAACCCCAAAGTTTGAAAGCCTGAGCCCTAAATCCTAAACCCTAAAACCGTAAACCCCAAACCTAAACCCTACACCCTAAACCCTAACCCTGAAAGTTTAGAGCCTGAGCCCTAAACCCTGAACCGCTACTTAGACACTAAACTTAGACTCGGCCTTAAAACCCTGGCCCCTAAACCCCTCAAGCCCTAACCCTACAGTTTCAAGCCTGAGCCCTAAACCCTAAACCCGTAGACCCTAGACACAAAACATAGACCCTAAGCCCGAAACCCCTAAGGACTACCGTCTGAACCCCCCCCCGAATTGTCCTAAACGCGAGCCACGCGCTTCTCTGAGTGAGGTGAGTAAACCTCGAAGCCAAAGCCCCAAACCTGCTTGATGAATCAGGGACTCCTTAGGGTTTGGGAGTTTCCGAAATTTGGGGGTACTTTTTAGGGTATTATATCAGGGTCCCCTATTTTCAGAAACTCCCATTTAGGGTCAAGTACTTTAAGGCCAACTTCAAGTGTAGTTACTTGAGTCAGCACCCTGCCAAGCCTCCTGATTCTTCAACCTAAGCCCTAAACCCTAAACCCTAAGCCCTAAACCCTCAACCCAAAGCCCTAAACCCTAGCCCTAAACCCTAGCCCTATCAGCCCTAGATTCCAAGCCCTAAACCCTCAGCCCTGGCTCCTAAACCCTCAACCCCAGGCCGTAAACCCTAAACTCTAACTAGGTTAGGATCTTCAAAACCCCAAACCTGAGCCTTAAACCTCAGCCTCTGAATCCTAACTCTAAGCCGTAAAATCCCTAATCCCTGAGTCCTAAACCCTAAACCCTAGATTCCAATCCCTACATCCCTAAGTAAGGGCGAAGTAAGGATCTTCACCTTCATCTTCGCTGCGGACGTGCTGGTTCGTATGTTCGTCCTGAAAGGCATTTTCTGGAAGGACCGCCCCCGGAGTTCTTTTGGGTCTTCGGGCCTTTAAGGTCGAGGTTTCACCCCAAACCCTAAGCCCATCATAAACCCTGGAAGCCCCAAACCCCAGACTCAAAATCCTAAGCCCTAAATCCCAAGCCCTAAGCCCTAAACCTTAAGCCCTAAACCGGAAACCCTATAAACCCTAAACCCCTAGACCCTAAGCCCTGAACCTTAAGCCCAAAACCCTAAACAAAACCCTGAACCCTTAACCCTACTGTTGATGATATAAATCTTGCATTACTTTAAGGACCCTAAACTATGGGAATTATGGTATATTCCTTATTATGGGTCATTAATGCCCAAGAGCCTTAAAGTATGAGTCCTTAGAGCCTGAAACCCTTATAGAACTCCTTTAAAGGAGCCCTAGGTGTAGGGTTTCAGGGCCTTCGGCCCAAGAGAGCCACGGTTCAGGGCTTCCCCGCAGCCGACCAAAGCCTAACTTTCTACCCTAAACCCTAAACCCTAAACCCTAAACCGTCTAGGGTTCCTGATTTTGGGGTTTAGGCTTGAGGGTTCTAGGGTTGAGGGTTTAGGGTTCCTGATTTTGGGGTTTAGGCTTGAGGGTGCTAGGGTTGAGGGTTCTAGGGTTGAGGGTTCAGGGTTCAGGGTTGAGGGTTTCGGGGCTTAGGGTTTAGGGTTCCTGAGTAGTACCCTGGTGCCTTTTTTTTTGGGGGGGCCCCTGTATGAAGACCAAATAGTAGGAACAAGGGTACCCCTGTTATAACAAAGGGGCTACTCAGGAACCTAGCTATTCTGGCTGCTCTGTATATTTCCGTAGAAAGGCAGGTTTTTATCCCGGCCACAGGTAGGGTTTAAGGAGGTACTACCTATAGTCTCCATTGTAGTTCCTTTTTGTGGTTAACCAAAATCTCTATTATAGGGTCCTATCCATAAAACTGGTTAACCAAAAAAGGAACTACAATGGAGACTATAGGTAAACCCTGGGTCCCTATGTAAGCTTCATTAAGAAACCCTCTAACCCCAAAATAATAGGATTCATAGAAGGAACCCCAATAAAGGCCCAGGTCCAAACCCGAAACCCTAAACCCTAAACCCTAAACCCTAAACCCTACTATAGGTACTTGTCCGGTTCAGAGCCCAAGGCCCCCCCATAGTCATAGCCTGCAGTTCAGGTCTTTGGCAGCTGTCGCCGGTGTTCTCCTGAAGGGCTTTGGGTTTAGGGCTTAGGGTTTTAGGGCTTCGGGTTTAAGGTTGAGGGTGCAACATGGAACGATTCCGAGACAGCGCAAAGTTTCCAGCAGGTTTATGTTGTGGCAGGTCCGCAATCTGCGAATGAACGTGCACCGTAATGTAGATCCCTGATCGACATGTGGTATCCCCTTTTGCCTCCGTCGTTCCATTTTCGTTTGAACCCCTTCTACGTCATCCAAATGTCCAAGTTCTTGTAGAAATGCCTGGGTCTGAGACTTGGCACGTTTGGTGGTTCATCCAGTATTGACATTCAGGGATACTTCGGGCACATTGCCCATAATTAACCCCTGCCGTATCATGATGACCGCACCTAAAACTGATGGAAAATTCGGCCACAGATCGGAAACCGACCAACTGAAACTCTGATTTTTGAGAACATCACCGGGCTTGTATTTTGCTGCTGTATCCGGTTGTAGTAACTTAGTATGGGCCCTGACTATTTGATTTCTGGAATAATTGGCCTAGAAGACTCCCTGAGGCATGGCTGAACTACATCGACATTGCCGTCTCCGTTACAAACATTTTCGAAACAGCGGCAGCTTGGGTGTCAACTCGTCGTAGGGTCTGTTGTCCCTTCAAAGTAGTGGGAAGGGAACCGTCAATATAAGGGTACAACCCCAAAAGTACTGGTACTGCAGCCAGCGATTTTCACTCGCAAGCAGCACGAATGCGTGTTTCATAGTGTAGCGAGGCAACGTGGGATTCCGCGCATCAGCTCAAGTTGGCATAGGGTTCCAGGATTTGAATCTCCTCCATATGGCTGGGTACCGTTCAGCACCTTGTGTGCAGCTAGTGTTGCTGGATTTTCGGAGGTATCTTTCTCGTTTTCTCGTCCCTACATACGTGGCCTACCCGGACTAAACTCACACCTTCAAATGTCATGAGACTTGGCCCTGGTGCATAACTGCGAACAGGCGTGTGGTCATTATGCACGGTTTCCTGTACGTACTACAATCCCTTCTTGGCCCCTTGAAAGATTATGTCGCTGTTGCGGAAGTCTAAGTGCAACCCCAATTCTGAAAGCCCTGCTGTTGTGAAGACACTTGGCATGTCTTGTGTCACAGCCTTACCTCCCGCATGATGGTGTTTTGCTGTACAATCTCGGTACTTGTAGCAGTGGTGTCCGATTTTCTAAAGTCAGCTACAAACTTTTCAACCATGCTGGCTTGTTAGAAACAGGCAGCCGTCGTGCAGAACATGGGAACATGAATGTCATGCTATGTCCTGAGCCCCCTAAAATCCCTGAACTCTGTATACACACAAAAGGAAATGAATACCCGTCGCGACCTAGAATTGGGCAGGAAACTTAGAGAAGCCCGCCATTTTTCTCTGAGACACTGACCTGGAATAGGCCTTAACTCCGACTGCCCGAAATAAACCTTAACCTGGTTGAAACTGCAAGTCTTTGAAGCGTCGTTAACATAAGTTGAAGCCGGTATGTAGGACACCCCCCCCATGAAGGGACCCCGAACTTTCAGAAACCTGCATAGCCCCAACATCGACATGAGTCAGAAGATGTCAGAAGATTCGAAGGGCATATCTAAGAGACCCCTAAGCCGCCCTCGCATTCTGCCGAGATCTCCATGTACTCCAGCTCCACTGCATTGCCGTTTCCACCAGTGCCTCGGATCTGTTGGGCTTGTTATGCTTATGCATCTAGCTTCGGGGTTTGAGCTTTACTTACCTTTGGTTAGTAGGGAATGGAAGAATGGTAGTAATAGTAGTTATAATTGTACCCCATTCCTCCATTCCCTACTAACCAAAGGTAAGTTTAGGCTAGGCTTTAGGGTACCGCATCGGAACGACTAAAGTGCGGCCTCTCAAGCGCACCGGAGATCTGAGCCTGCAGTGCAGGTCGTATAATACCGGGGCCCTTACGCATAGGATTGGGGTTTTGTAGGTCAGTATGCATATGATAGGGCTTAATGGAGGTATACTTGGTTGTAAAAATGATGAGCAGCCCTGAGGAATAAAACTCGCAAGTCTTTGGGTTTCTAGATTGGGACCTTGTACCTCGCCAACCCCGTTTGCACTTTCAGAAATAGTGTGCCTCATTTAGGCGGCCCGTACAAACAGACTTTCGATTCAGGCTTCTATATCAAGGTCTGTAGTTCGAGAAACTCCCCTTTCTTCACACCCCAGTTAGTGCTTGCTTTGTTTATCATCCACATTGTTTTTTGCTTAAATTCATGTCGCTGCTTTTTATGTTAAGATGCTGCTGTTTCTAAGAGATGCTAAGTGCTATGGCACGCTCCTTGCAAGCCTTTGAAATGGTGCGCGATCTTGGCTGCAACCGTAGCAGAAGCAACAGTAGTAGTGAACACAATCTGCATCATCACCTTTTATTCATCACCAGCATTATCATCTTCGTATCCATCATCATCGTCACCGTCATCATTGTCTTTGCTCCATGCTAGTGTCAGTATATGTCATGTGGTGGCACTAATGGCGGCAGCAACAGCAGGGGCGGTAGGAGGCGTAGGAGCAGTAGGAGTAGGAGAACGAATCGACCTCGGAGTGAGAGTGGAAGTGGGAGTAGGAACAAGAACAGGAGCAGAAATAAGAGGAGGAGGAGGAGGAGGAGGAGGAGGAGGAGGAGGAGGAGGAGTGGATAGGGTTAGCACACCAACTGAACCGCATTGGGTTTTCAGAACCCTAAACCCTACAACCATTAAACTCTAAACCCTACAACCCTAAACTCTAAACCCTATAACCCTAGACACGAAAACTCTAAACCCGGGCAGTCGGGTGCGAATCCCGACGTCCCGAAGCCTCGCCGTAGGATCTCTCTGAACTCACCTTGTCGCGTCTCAAAGTTCTGAGTGTAAGGCCCGGTTTCGGGTTTTCCATTGTAGTTCCTTTTTGGTTACCTTATAGGATCCTATAAGGTAACCCCAAAAGGAACTACACTCCTAATTATATAATTGGTTAAACCAAAAAAAGGAGCTACAATAGAGACTAAAGGTAGGGTTTAGGGAAACTTAGAGCTCCTTTGAATCGGATCTATAAGGGATCCTAGGGTTTAGGGGTTGAAGGGTTTAAGGGGTTTAGAGCTCCTGAAAGGGTTCTAGAAGGGATTCTTAGGGTTTAGGGGTTTAGGACCGCTAGCACCCTGAAGTTTGAAAGGTGCTCTTCCGGTTACTTCGACTTGGGAAGCTTGCAAGAGCGATCCGGGTGGTGTCGATGACTTCGGTCGCTCGGCGTCCACTTCGAGGGAGGTGGTTATGCAAGGACATCATATAGGGCTCGTAGTAACTACCAGTACTACGAACTTAGAGTCATTATACAGATGTTGCAGGGTAGGTACAACTAGAACATGGTTTACAAGCTGCATTGCCCCAGTGCTGCGTGGCTCCGAGTAATGCGCTGTCACTGGCATAGGCCGCATCTGTGAATCACTGTGCGACTACCCATCCTAACCCCTAAATCCAAAAGAAGCCCTGGTTAGCAGGAGAGACTGAGGAGAGAGTTCTCATCGTAGGAACCCCTAGAGTTGACCGGGACACCTCATCCTCACGACGCCTCATTATGATATTGTGCCATCATAGCATAAAAGGCAATGGTCAACATCTAGCTGATTGTGTCAAATACCTATGTTGGCCAAAATACGCAAACCATCTTCAACCTACGCATTCAAGCAGGATGTTGCATCCACGAAAATGGACCATCGCAGCACTTGAAGTGGTTTTTCAGCTCAGAGTTAATTCTCTGTTTGAGAGAGCCCGGCTACCGCGATGAGCAACACAGCATGTACAAGTCATAGGAGGCCAAAAGGGGTTTTAGCCGATGGGGGTTTAGTAGGGATTAGGGTTCCCACAATAGGGTTCAGGAATCCCTACCCCAAGAATCTTAAACCTCCCTTTTGGCCTCCCATGAAATAATTACCGAGACTATTTGGGGGCTTCCTTATTATAACTATATTTCACTGGGGCCCAAAACCCTATTCTAATTGTTAAGAATCTTAAACCCCGGTTTTGGCGTCCCATCAACAAGCCTGGAGGCATCAACATTGTTACTCTGAGCCCAGAACAAGGCCGCGTATTCCCCTAAAGGGAACTCCAGAAAGTTGGAATATGGTTGCAGGGTAGGATACCCTATAATTTACCATAAAGGGTTTAGGATAATCATATTCCAACTTTCTGGCTTTTACTTTATCCCCAAAGCCTGAAAGCCTAACCCCCACTTCCCCACTTGAGCCCTGAGCCCCCCCAAGCCCCTGAAGCCTTAACACCCCCGACTGACGATTCCAACCAGGTGCTAGCTTCTCTCCAGCTTCTGGTGACCCGGCACATTTCTTAGCAAGGTTTCCCCATGGGCCCTTTTTCCTTTTTTTATGGTCTTGGGTTCCGTATCAAACTATCCAACACCTTTGGTGGAGCCCGTTTAGTCCCTGCCCAAGCAGCAGGTTGTGGTAGGGTAGGCTGTCGGACTGCAGTTCGACTGGATATTTTCAGGTGTTGTGCCTTAGATGTGGACTTTGGGTATTGAGATCGGCATATTCTCTTCGGTACTGTTTCGATGCCATGACAAAATGCACGCCCGGAAGGTTGAAAGATCGTTACGACCCCTAACCAGAAGTCCCGAAACACCGAAGCTCCGAATCCTCGGGCCCCCTCCTTCGAACTCATAAACGCCCCTGTAAACTCCATCACCCCCAGACAAGAGACGTCCAAACACCCTAAACCCCTAAACCCCTAAACCCTAAACCCTTTAACCCCTAAGCCCTAAACCCTCCGCCGGCGAGGTAAAGTGCCTGGGATCCAGTCGAGACATGCTTTTCTGGAGCTTTTGCCTGCTGACCTTCGTGCAATGCGTTGCTGGCATGAATCTCCGCTGCAGCATGGGGTGC